TTCCTGCAGAGCAGCCCTGGCAGAGGAAAGTTCCTGCTCTCGAGCACTCAGGCAAGCTTCCAAAGCCTGTGTCTGTCCTTCCCATTCAGATTTCTTGTGAGCCACCATAATGTCAATCTGCTTCATCAGCTCCTGCAGCTCGGCTTCACAGGAAGTCAAGAACCCACCACTGGAAGTGAAAGAGCTTGAAGTGACAAAGCAGGCAACCACCCAGCACATGTCCAATGTCCCATACCAACAAAGGCAGCCGAACAAACTGATCTGCACCAAGGTACCAACCCTCCACATGCAATGCTTCCAACTCTATGCAAAGTAGCTTGCAAAGAAATATACTTAATTCTTCCATGGTCATCCCATTCTCTAATGCAGTATCTCACAAGCGGTATGCTTCTGTCACTGAGCAGAGATTTAAATTTGGCAATGACCAACAAAGAATACTTGTGAAAGCCCAATGAGAACAAATGACCTACACACTTTAAATGCAGGGGCTTTGTCTTCTGTGCAGAGAACCGTTACAAGCACCTATAAACACCTATCCTTTGTCTTGGTACTATGCATTACCTAAGTAAACCAGTGCATGTTTTATCCAAATTTTGCATTTGCCTTAATTGCTCTCCAGGCAGAGGCATTTTCTATGAAGTTTCAGTCACCAGAGAAATCTTACAGCCAAGCTATCAGCTCCTGAAAACAGAAGTTTATGCAGACAAATCCCTAAGCAGAGGGGGTTGGATGACAACATGATAATGAGAATAAAACATTCGCAATCCGTTGGGGAAAGCATGCTCCCTAGCGACGCTGCAATTTCTAATTTGGTGCAGTAATTATTGAAGCCGGTTCTAGTAACTCCTCTAAAACTTCACAAGCTGCTAAGCCAGGGACAATATTAAGGGTTGCAAGACACAGCCCTGGACGGCAGTGAACTCCATGATGATCTTTACCCCTCTAATTTGCCTGTCAAACAAGAAGCACTGAAAAGAAATGGAAATCAATAGGTTTAAGGGATTGAAATTTCTCTGTTCCCCCAGAGCATATGTACACTTCACCACTTGGCAGTTTTTCTATAGGAAAAGAAATACTTCTTAAAGGAGCCAAAATCAGTTAAATTTGAAGTTCACTCTGTCCTGTAAGTTAACCAAAAATTAGCAGCTATTATGCAGAGCAAGAACATTTCCTTCACAGCATCTGCTAATATAAAGCTAATCTAAACCTGATTTCTGCAACCAGTTATCTGTAGAAGATACAGGATCTGTAAGTCTGAGTCAAAGATGACTGTGAAAATGGCATCACTGACTTTTGCTTCATGCTTGTTTAAAACATAAAACATTTTTTCCATTATTGGCATTACAATCTCTCTCTGCCATCCAAAAGTCTAGATATTTTCACCTAAGATAGAGCTTTAAGGATTCTTCAGATAAGTCTCCACAGCTTCAACACAAGCAGAAAATAATCAGATGTTTCCAACAAAAACAGATAACAAACATCTCATTAACCTTGCAAAGCTGTTAAAAAATATTCACACCTTTAATTACTACTGCTCCTGATGTTAGAACGTAAAAAGGGTGTACAACAACAACAAAAGAGGTAAGGTTTTTTCAGGAAAATGTAAAATTAAAATTCTAAAAATTAAGACAATAATATCTGACAGGGGGTTATTGCAGAGCCAGCTCACCCAGTGACTTTGCTGATCGTGTCCACCAGCGTGCGCTAGCAAACAAACTCCAAAGCCCTTATTTAAGCAACAGCAGCTCTGTCCAATGCCAGAGGATTTGATTCTGAGTAAGAGGGAAGGTTAGCATTTGAAGTATTTTGAATTACTGGTGTGTACTGTTGCACACATACCTCCCCTGCCCATTTCTTTGCATTCCTTCCAGCAAAGCCTCCATCACCACGTCCTGGTGGCTTCAGCAGCTAGGAAAACACACAAAAGTAGCAGTCACCCATGGCAATGTACAAACAAGGCTACTTCTCCACCCAGCTGCAGAAGCAGCAGAAGTCCAAGAGGAACAGAAGTTTAAAAAATTAAAGTTGGCACACAATTGCATGTGAGGAAAACAGTGGTCACCTTCTTGAACTTAAAAGCCAAATATCCACGAAATAAAGGAAAACAGATTTTTCTATAAAAAAAAAAGACCCAACGCAACCATTCAGCACTACCAAATTTTGGTGATACAATCATGTGATGTAATGAACAGAATAACTCAAACAACAGCAGTGAAAGAGAATCTGCACTTCAGCAAACGGGCAAACTCACCACACCGGGACCAGCAGATCTCCTGTCTCCTGGGTGCACCAAACTGTGGAGATCAGTGACACGCGGGGACTTCCAAAGGGGCCAGCCCAGGATCCACCTCCCACAGGGGTATCTGTCACTTCAGAGAAAAATCATAAGCACCTTGCAACAAGCAGCAGTAAGAATCTATCCATAAATTAGGTCTCTCCCAGGTCACTATTACAGACTGGGTTAAAGAGACCACACAGTTTACGACTGCATTCAGGGCACACTGCTAGTTTGTATGGTTGGGAGGATTTTCTTTTAACATAGCACTAATTCTTCAAAACTTCCTCTGGTGCCTTAAGTTATGAAAATAAGTTGCACAGCTTTACAGCAGCAGCACATCATCTTAGTTAAAAATTACATCCTTTAAGTCATGAACACGTATATGTATGCACACACATAGATCTTTCACATATTTGTGAAGCAAGAAAGGTTTACACTAAAAGAAAAAATGGGGAATAAAAAAAAAAAGTTACCATGGAACCACACCTGGAAAGCTAGAATTTATTTCAGTGGCTCCTCCATGTGGCTCTCTAACAGAAAAATGGCTAAACTCCTCCTGAGGATACGAAACTGCACCTCAGTTTCACTCTGTGGAGGTATTCAATCTTCTGTTTCCAAAACATCCATGCACTTTCTCAAGTACTTAGAGACGGATCCTCACAACATCTTTCCTCAAAGATTACTATGGCATTATTAAGCAACCAACAAAAGGGGGAGCACGTCACAGAGACTTTCAGAAACACAGCCTCAGCTTTGCTCTCTCTCACTTCCATCAGAGTTTCTATCCTGCTCCTACAGCATTTTAAAACCCCGAGCTTGGCAGTTCAGCTGTACTGGAAACAACACACATTCAGAAAATATGTATCTCACTGAAGAAAAACATATGTATCCCTATTCTGAGAGTGTTTTCTCTCTCTTTGGTCCTGTCTGTGCTTAACAAAATCCAATCAGGATGTAGAACATCTTTGTTGCACTGCTGAGGAGAGCAGATGAGCAGAACCTCAAGAGTCACTGACGGCACTCCCAGAGAGCTCTCCAGGCGGTACCAGCGGACATAAGCCAGTTGCAGCTCTTCTGTTTCACTCTAATCACCCCTACATAGAATTGATTTTCAGTGGGCAGCAGAGAGAGTTCATTGTCCACCATGGAGAATGTCTGCTAAAATTCAAAAAGAAAATCTGGACAGCAATCTAGGTCCTTCATCAGCAGCCCCTTCCATAAGAAGCTGGGACCAGTTCAACACAGAAAGCTCTAGTGCCATGAGGAGCCAGACAGCATCTATTCTTGTTTCTGTTAGGCTTTAAGCAAGGTGCCCAAAGACACCTCAATCTGCCAGCCAGCACATTTGCCAGCTTACCCAGGTTTGGGCAAAGAGCCTTAAAATCAGACACCTCCAGCCAATTTTAGGCTACATCAGGTTTGTTGGCTTAATACTACATTTGTGACCTCTCAAGCTTGCGAGTCACAGTGTGCATGTTACAGGCAACTGAGTAAAGACCCACAGAGGAAACAATCTCTGCCATTAACTACAGCTAAAGCAAGGAGTGCTGGTCACTTCTGAAACTGAAGAAAAAGGAAGTATTTGCTTTAAAAAAAGAGACAGAACATCTAAAAATCAACAAGGTTTAGCATCCCAACTCAAGAAAGAATTGTAGCAGTAGAGTCCAGTGGAGAAATCTGGCAATACACAGGAAAACTTAAGCATACTGCCCGTGAAAAACCTTGGCTTATTTTGCACATAAAAAAATACAGCAGGATGCAATTTCTAAGAACAGCCCTCCTGCAGTTTAACTCACCCCCCCACCGGGTGCCCCGACGCCGAACGGCCACTTAGGCCGGTCACACACATTCACCCCTCAGGGGAGCGTTTCAGCCGCAGGCCGAGGCGCTGCCCGAGGCCCTTCCAGCCCCGCTCCCCCCACCAAACACCCCCGAAACCGGCCAAACCCCGCTGCCAACCTAAGCAAGGAGCAAGGCCCAGGCCTGGGCGGCGACTGCGCCTGCGCGGGGGCTGCGCCTGCGCACTGCCGACGCCGAGGCCGCCTCCCGGAGATGGGCAGGGTAGGGGCAGCTGGCCGCGACCCTTGGGGTGCGGGGACCGGTGGGGTACCGGGAGGGGTAGGGGGGACCGCAGCGCCCCGGTTAGCGGGGCTGTCCGCACCCACCGCGGGGCCGGGGCGGCTGGAGCGCCCTACGGCTCCGCGGGGCGACGCGGGGGCCCCTAAACAACCGGTAGCTCTGGAGCCAGGCACTCTCCAACAGCTGCAAGCCTGGCTTGGTTTTAGCATTTAATTATTATTTTATTTAATTAAGTGCCCGACCCTGGAGAGCAGGCAACAACCAGTAAGCAACGGTTCTGCACAGAGTCGGAGGGGACAGGGCGGCTGCAGGTCGCAAGCTTGTCTAAAGAGATTTTTAAGGCTCAGTAGCTATAAACACATGCAAATGTCTCTAATTAATAGTAACGGACTAGTTTTCTATATTCATCAATCTGCAATTCAGTTTGGTAGTATTCTTTTCAGATGAAGTCATTCTCCTGTGGTTACAACCCCTTTTTGAGTGGATTAGGAAAACCAAGGTTTTCTCTAAAAGTTTTAAGTGCAATAAAAATTGGATCAAAACTGGAGCAAGCCCAAACTGCAGCTGTGTGGTTGGGGACATGGATGTTAGGAACAGCATCTGCTTTGTGTCACAGGTTTAGTGGTACTCGCCTGCCACAACAATGGACAGCGAAGTGCAAAGGGATGGCAGGATCCTGGATTTGATCGACGATGCGTGGAGGGAAGATAAATTGCCGTACGAGGACGTGGCTATCCCGCTGGTAGGTGAATTGCTGCCTGTCAATCTGAGTTACAACCGGTGTGTTTATCACAGCCCCTTCCAAGAAACAGCGTAGGCAGTGTTGCTTGTGGTGCAGCTAATTAGTACAAAAGGTTCCCGGCATAGATCCAACTTGCTCTTTTCTTGCCCTATATGTCAGTCATTCCTGTGTGTGGATGAGGACATGGATGTTTCCCTACTCCTTCCCCTGATCCATTGCCATATCTCCTCAGAACTGGAGTGCCCTTCCCATTGCAGTTCTTGGTTTGACATCAGGGAGGAGCAGAATGGTCCTTTCTTTGTGCTTTCCCTTCACGTTACTAGTGTTTGAGGTGGTTTCCCAGCTGGTTTGCAGAACAGAGAGGAGCAGTTGCAGTCTTGGTTATGCTTCATTTCTACTTTCTGAAATTCCATTAAAAGAAGCTGAAAATTTTTCAAATGTCTTCCTAATCAGTCTTTTCCAAATACACCATTCCTGGTTCAAGGATAGCAGTGAATGAACCAACATCTGCAGTGGGACTCTTGCTTGTAGCACTGCACCCAACGCATGGCAGCCAGCTTTTTGTCCAGTGTCTGGCTCATTGTACAGCTGCGAGGCCAGAGAGGTGCAACTGGGGAAGAGCTACCTCTGATCCCATGCTGATCTGACGCTTCAGCTCTCCCACACTGACACCTTTCCTTAGCCATTTGGAAAGTACCAGGGAAGTGAAAAGTATCTGAGGATTTTCCCTGTCCTTGTCCTTGTTCTGGCTGGTACACAAGCTAGCACCAACGAAGCAGCCATGCTAAAATCATGGGGACTGACAGGCTGCTAGTTTCTTTTAGCACAGAGACATTCTCAAATTGCCAGTGACATGGCTCAAGCTTTAGCCCTTACACCGCTGTTGTTTCAGAGAGGGCAGGGAGCAGCTACACACCTCCAAAATCCGTAAATACAGCACACAAGTTTTCCTGCCAAGATTTGAGCTTGAGGGAATGATCTTGCAGAACTGATTCTCAGATAGGAGAGCCCAAACTTTGTTTTGCTTGGGATAACCTTTAGTAGGCAGGCCGAATGCTATAAACTAGTTCCTTGCTGAGATTTGCATTTACCCTGTGTCCAAGTCTAGAAACATCACTGTTTCTTTTCTCACAGCCATCCCGTGAGCTACTTAGATTCACGTACAGATGACAGCCTCAGAGCAAGAAGCCTCAACTAACAATAGAAAGAAAGGCCTGTCTGTGGATATAAAGATCCTCAGGGATGGGATTGGCTCCCATCACAGAAAAATGAGCGCAAATTCACACGAGGCTTACTCAGCGGCATTGTAAAGGAGCAAACAGAATGGCTGTAAAATGGTATTTGAGCCTGTCCTGAGCATCTAAGCCTGTGCTCACTCAAGAGATTCGTATGAACTCAAATGGGCTTGAATCAGATGCTGTTTTCCATAAACATAAAAATTTTATTTTGCTCATGCTGGGATTTCCAGAGATCCAGAACTGAGAATTCTTGCCCAAATGGTATCTGGCAGAATAACACACGCTCCGTGTGACGGCACCAATACAGCAACAGTGAGGACAGATAATATAAGGAAGAAAAAGAAAATCTCAGTTAAACTATAGTTCCTCCTTACTGTGTCATGAGCAGCTCTGTGCTGCACCTGATAGGAGTTTCTGACTTCCACTGCTGATTTAGCACAGCCACACCCCAGTTCAGCATGTAGAAAGAGGAAGGATTTCTCACCTGCCAGAGGAAAGCAACATGTTACAAAACCAGTTGTCTTAATAACAGCTACCATTAATGCAGGATCCGTATTCTTGGCAACAGCAGAAGAAATACATTGCAAACAAGCAAAGGAATAATTGCATCGTACTATTATTTACTTATTTTGCATTTGCTATATATTCTCCTTTTTCACTGTGTGTGCAGTCTGAGTGTATAGCAAGGCCCCAGGGTCCTGGAAAACCAATTTACCTTTCAGATTAAGCACCATATTCATGTGAAAAGAATATTGTTTGTAACTGGGCCTAATCATATTTTTAAGTGGAGCAGTATGCATGGTATGCATTGTTCAGATGCACCCTCTGGTCTCATTTGTGGATTTTTGTATTTATCCATATGGAGTCTTAGTACCCTGGTCCTTTCAGGAAGCATATGATGTGTGACATCCATTGTACCTCTGTTTTATTCTCAGAATGAGCTTCCTGAACCAGAGCAAGACAATGGTGGCACAACCGAGTCTGTGAAAGAGCAAGAAATGAAGTGGACAGATTTGGCCCTCCAGTATCTCCATGAAAATGTTCCACCCACAGGAAACTAGTGAATCAGTGAGATTTCGTAGGATTCCATACATTCATTCCTACAATGAATGCAATATAAAAAATACTTGTCAGCTGTCCATTACTGTGATAAGCTCTCTAAGGAGGAAACAACATTTCTGAAAAAGGTTCGGATTCAAACAATGGTTCTACTCAGAGTGACCAAATACGGCTTAAAATGCTTTTATAATGAGTGTGAAATAACAATAGCTATCTGACACCTCAGAGCTAACATCAGGATGTTTCTCTTATGTAAAATTATTTCATGTCTTCTGTTAAATTGTTCTTAAATTGGTGCCAATTCTGATCTTAAATGTTTTCTACATGCAATAAAAGTAGTTTTTACTATCTCAAGTTGTGATTGATTTCAAAGCTCACAATAGGATCATTTATGACCCTGAAGGCTTACATCCCAGTAAGTATTCCTGTGTATTCTGTGCTTAGAGTTCAGTGTGAAAAAAACAAATAGCCGCAAGTCAGTTGTTACCATCTTTAACTGGTGTGTGGCTGAGGAAGGTTGTGGGGGGCAGGCATGAAAGACTGGTCAACAGGATTCAAGAGCTGCAAGTCATCTGTAAACACAGGTGGTTATTTGAACTCCTCATCTCAGGACCTGCTGGCAGTGGTGGACAGCATTTCCAGTGCTGCCATCCTGGGTATGCTTGCCAATACACGTACTGTCAGCAGTCTAATTTATGCTGAAGTGGTGGTTACTCCAAATCATTGTTTTTCGAGCGATGATTGAGAGTTACAAGGCAGAGCCTGCCAGCCCCAGTGTACCTCCTCTTGAACGGATAGTCACTTGGATGAGCCGTCTCAGATGGGAAATGGGAATCTGAGAGAAGTGTTGAGGAAAAGAAACAAGCAGGGCTTAGCTTCAGGCAGTAAATTGTTCCCCTTTTGTGCTGAGAAGAAAGGCAAGGCCCTCTTGATTTCCTTCTCTCATTTTATCTCTGATTCTCAAATGCCTTTTGCAATAGGTAAAAGCCTTCTGTTCAGCTTGCATGTTTCACTGTTGGACCAATTCCTTTGCACCATTGGCAGAACTTTCTAAGGGGAAAATATTTTGACAGAGTTTAGGATTACTGGTAGAGGTGAGAAAGGAACTGCAAGGAAAACAATGTTTCACATTATTTTTTTTGCCAGTGAATCAGAAAAAAAGCACTTTCCTGGAGTATGCAGCTTCCAGACTCCACAGAAGTTTTTTTGGTGTCTTTTCTCAATGTTTATCCTCTTCAAAATTACAAAAAACAACTTTTGCCTGTGTGATTACCAAATGGAATCACAGCATGGCACATGTCCTGTGAGACGGTGATTGCTGAACTGCATGAGGATGGAGAGCTCAGGGTGCTTGTGAAAAAATCACGTGTGTTGCTGGGTGTGCTCCTCTGTCTGAGGTGTAGGCTGTGCCCACACCAGACATGTAGCACACACTTGTCTGAACAAGAAGGAGCTGCAGGCAGCCAGCAGGCAGAGTTAAGATTAACCCTAGAACTAGCAGAGTCAAAAAGCTTAGTATGTACAGCATGACATGCTGTAGAAGAAAACGCAGAAGAAACAGATACGCAGCTAGGAACTGTAATAGTTCAGCGCCTCATTGGATCATCGCCAGGGGAACAAAACAGCCTGTGCTTAATGAGGTGTTTCTGATCCTTCCTGTGTTCCCTTTCCCTAGCCTACGTTGGAAGAATTTCCAAAGAAAACATTAGGTACAGCTACCACGCAGCTTCCATCCAGCAGCCATCCCTCTTCTCTCTTCCCCTCCCCTCTCTTGCCCCCTTACAAACTCCCCACCACCCTCATCTTTTCAATTTCGCTACTAGATCTTCAAGCTCCAATTTCAGACTTCTTTTCCTGCCCCTGACAGTTGTCTTTGCATTTGCCATCTTCTTCCTCCTGTCTAGCAGGAAAAAAAAAAAGCCTTTCTTACTTGAATTTGAGCTGGATTAATGAGGTTCCAGCAGGCATGCAACGAAGCATGGTGCGGATACCAGATGTATGAACGTCATCCACAACAGCAGTTGCTTGGCAGCCCAGTGGAGACCCAGATTGACTGAACTGCCACCTTCCCTTTGTCACCACACAGCGCTGTGCATCCGCCTCCTGCCCGAGCTGACAGGGTCTCATAAGTTAGAAGGGATCCAGGCCACAGTGCTCAGGAGAGCTAAAAGACATGACAGATTAGGGATTGTCATGAATGCTACCAGCACAGGGCCCTGTGAAACCAAGTGCTGGCCCTGCCCAGATGCTTATCAGACTTGCAGTGACACCTACACTCTTTGCTGCCTTTTGACATTCTTTGCAAAAGAAAATAGACATGCAATAATATCCTTAGTTTCAACACGTAGTCAAATTGCTGCTTACAGCGTGATACCAAACCATTTATTTGTGTCTCTGATTAGTCATTCCTTAGGGCAAACTATATTTAAAATATGGAAACCTGGTAGAATAGAAGGTGCCCCACCTTTTTAAGAAGAAGCTTTAGTTGTATAACTAAAGACTGGTCTTCATTTCTTGGCTGGTAACTTCCTCCTTTCACCACACCTACTGTAACTGGCAGAAAGAGAGAGCGTTGTCAGAGACAGCAGACACATGCCAAAGAAATTGTGGGAATCCTCAAAATCTTTTACCTGTAGAAGTTCCATGTGGAAGTCCACATGCTGAGGCTGTTTGTCGTGTTTATCTACCTTTTGTATGGGGTGAAAACAGGTAAGAAATCAACCGTTTGTTCTAAACGTTTTTGTCAAATATAACATGCTCGTTCTGCTTTGCAGAAACATGAATATATCTACCCTCTGCATTACAGTTATTGCGTAGGGCTTTACACTAGCATTATTTATGTTGGCAAGGCAAATTATACTGGTTACATGAATGTGGTTGGCTCTAAGAGTTCCAAATGTAAAACCAGAAGTCATTTTTATTATCTTTTCCTCACTTCGCAAACATTTCTCTCATATAAGTGCTATCCATCGATACTGAAAATGTCATTTGAAATCTTCAGAGAAGAATGATTTCTTTTCAGCAGTGTCTTATATGACAGACGGGAAGGATGAATTACCAATACAATTACAATAAGCTCCATTTGATATCCTCCCAGCCCTATCAAGAACCAACCCATGTAACAATAAATAAATGTACTGCCTTGTGTTAGCATACACATGGGAGCAAGTCAACTTATAGCTCTCTAAAAAAAAAACAGGATTAAAAAACAGCAGTGTTCTTATAAATACCAACTTGTATTTCATCAGGTTCTCTGGAGTAATCTTGGGGTTGCATTTTGCTTAGTGAGTTAAATACGCATGTGCACGTAGGAAATGTAGTCCTAGGAGATGGAAACTGTGTGAAAAGGCACCAAGGAAACCCAGTGAGATACTGAGGACCAGTGTCAGAGGTGGAGGGCACATGCTCTCCGTGGAGAAGTGATGGAGACTTTCACTAATGCTACTGGGATGTGCTGTGGGGTGGTGAAGTGTGCTTAAAGCTGAGCACTCATTATCGATGTATAAGACCAGTCTGTAGAAACACCCTGTAAAAAGCCCAGGTGAGATGACAGTGTTTTGGGTGTCAGTGAAACTGCAGAGAGAGGCAAAAGCAGCAACCTGATGCCAGGCGCTGAGTGGGGAGGCAGCCCCCTTCGCAGGCTCTGTGAGACAGAATGGTCTCCTGAGGACCACAGCTAGGACAACTACAAATCTACCAAGTGACCACTGAAGTGAAAATCTGTTGGAACTTCGCTTTGCAAGAGGACAGACTGGTGGAGTTAAAAAATGCAGCTGCTATTCTCTTCATGCAGGCAGCCTCAAGATCACAGCCCCAAAATGCCACTACTGCAAACTCTGCGTGTCCACAGGATGAACATCCAGGACAGGAGAAGAAAAAGCTTCCAAATACCATCACCAAAAAAAGAATTAAAGATATAGGGGAATGCAGGACTTAAGTAGTACTGACTGCAGTAAATACCACAGTCTGCCCAGCACCATTCTCATCACCGTAACACTCCTACCTGGGAGTATATAATTTCAGAAATTTTATATATATATGTAGCTTCAGAACAAAGTTATTCTGAAGATGCCCCTCCTGCTGCAATAGCACCTCAGAGGCTGATCTGGAGTTCGAGACAAAAGATGTCCAGCTCCCATGTAGGAACATGGGTTTCACAGATGGGTATGCCCCAGTACAGGTGCTGAGATGTCAGAGCACCTTGCCCAGGAAACTGCTGTTTGCCGTCCTAGTTTACATATCAGAAAACTGAGCAGAGGGAGAAAAGTTAATTGCCTGAGGCTGTTAATGGCCAAGACAGGGCTGGGATTAATGGGACACTGAGTTAATTGCCACGTTTATTCACCTTTCCTGGAGGGAAGTGGTCTGTTGGACACTGGTTAAGTACAGTGCCAGGCTGCCAGTTTCCACCTCGCTTCTTTGCTTGCGGAGTTAATCTCGATAAGCCTCTTGCCCCATCAGAGAAATCATGTTGGAGTTTCAAAGACACTTCCAGCCATTTGGGTAGGATCCGCTGTACTTATCAGAATGAAGAGCAGAGCCAGGATAACTGGCTGTCCTCATGTGTCAGCTTTTGTAACACATGGTGGATGAGTATGGGATACGCACCAGCCTGCCAGAAGCCAAGCTGGCAGGTTTCCCCAACTATTAGCACTGATCTAATTTTGTTAATCAAAATAGAACAAATCTAACAGGCTTGGTGCAGCTGTAGCAAGGCTTTTGAAACAATGCCTATGTTAGGTATTAGCAAATGCTGATCAGCTCTTTAAAAGCTTTGCTTTATCAGAAGGTTTGGGCTGTTCCGGTGACAAACATAGTGCTCCTCTGGGCAAGTCTCAGCACAGTGCAGGAGATACCGAAACAAATTAAGCAATCAGTGCAATCTTGCACCATATAGAAGTTCTTGCCTGGCTGTATTACTACAGCTTCAGTGGCAGTAAAGGTGATTAACAATACTATAGAATAACACTATACAATAAATAAAATTATTTCTAGTTATTAG